AACTCTAAATAGCTCAATCTTTTTTTTTTTTTTTTTTTTTTTTTGTACTTTAATATTGAAATATTTTTTACTTTGATTTGACTGCTCCAAAGTCAAAGCAGGGCAAAACCACAATACAAACTCAGAAGTTTAAGGGTAAAACAATGTTCCTGGAAGGACTTGATGCCATAGACCTAAATCTCTTGATGACCGATGACACAAACATCTTATTTAACACATCACTAAAATGAAATAAATCTGTCAGCTTACACAAGTTTAATATTATGCCAATGATTTTTAAAATCTCTTTCATTAGAATGCATTAAAATCTGCTAAAAATTATTATCTATCTCATTATTTATTTATTACTTTAATCATTTCCAAGTCTTGAATTAGGCATCAATGCCATTATACAAATTGTTTTTCTTTTCTGAAAACAATGAATACAATTGCTCTTTAAGTTTCACCATAAATATTTTATCCCAACACCAAAATAACACCATTGATAATTCATATTTTATTTTTCTAGAAGTCATTAAAATTCCCCAAATTTGAAACAAACACACATTCTATTTTACATTACACTATTTACAAGTTATAAAGTCTAACATTATATTATAATACAAAAACAAGTGTTGTTTGTTTGAGATGCATAAAGTGCTGGAATAACTGGAAGAAAAAAATAATATATCTAGATCTAGAAACTCATTATGTTCCATTCTGCCTGCTAGACATGGCATTCTAGACTCCTAAATTCGCTGATTATAAATATTTTCTCTTGTCAAAATGCAAGAAATGTATTAATTTTATCACCTTTTCTGCGAATGATAAGGCTTCCTAAAATAATCAGACATAAAAACAACATTTTCTAACACTACTCCATAAATCTGTGGGAGACGAAGAAAGGAATTAAATGATAGTAAATAATAAATACTAATTTTATAGTAGTGCCTAAAGGTAAATTCTTAGAATTCCAAACATTCTTTTAAAATTTTGCAACTTTTCATGGAAAAGAGTGATGAAGATAAAATAAAATGGTTACCGTGGTGAATGTTGTAATAACCATGTGGCATTTTGATAGAAACCAGATAACTATACAGGTTGTTTTATTATAATATATATACCGTATAATGTCTAATTAATTCCCCCATAACTCAAAATAAAATATTTAAAAATTTCAACTCTAAAATTTAAGCACTCAACAAAAATTCACTAATTAGTACTTCATTTTTTGGAGATTTTAAGTGAAGGAAAACAAGACAAAGTGTGATAAACATAATTTAAGGGACATAATCCAACTTTTACTCAGTGGAATAAGTCACAAACCAAACCATTACACATATCCCCACCCTCCTCTCCTCCATATACAGAATATTCCTACTAATGCTTCATACACCCATAAAAACACAGAATTTCTTGTTCTTTAAAATTCCTTAACAGGGGCATTAATTGGACAGCATACGGTATCATTCAAAACTTATATGATCACAACAAAAAAACAAAATCAGATTCCCTGCCAGAATTTTGATAGGAAACCCCTTGCCTTATAATCTTCAATGTTTTCTCTACTGAATGAAACATTATAAGCTGATAATATGTGAATATTGAAGTCTTAACAGGCACAATGATAAAAGACCAGATAAATATAACATTTATGAGAAAATTCCAGCTCTCACATCTGACAACACTGTTTTTTTTTATGAGATATAACCTATCAATACAGATTTATAAGTATGGTGATGGTCTTTTATTTCAGGAAGGTCTGTCATTAATCAAAGTCACGAAACTGAAAGTATGCCACTCTTATACTTTGAATATAATGTGATATGCCTGTTATATAACAGATCATATTCAATGCACTCGCAATTTGTTAGATCTGATATTTCATTACGAGTTAATTCTCCTAATTAACCCTTAAAGTGCTGGAACGGAAAGCGTTAAGCCTTTGCCACCAGTATAGAGCCAGGCCAGCCTGCACATCCGTGCAGTCTGACCAGGCTCTATACTGTTGGCAGACAAACTTTAAATATAATATATAGTTGATATCCTGAAAATTGATAATGGACCATCCCAAAAATGGAAGTGGGACAAGTAAATTTAAAATATTCAGCATGTTAAGAGTTAAAAGATATTTCTATGACTGATTCCAAATTTAGATTTTATATTCCAATTATAAGATATGATATTTGTATCAATGCATCATTAAATTTAAGATTATATGCCATATATTGTAAGACAGGCTGACAGATTCACTTCATTAAAATATGTGTTGCTATAATTGACCTCATTTTAAAGTTTTAATGGAACAGATTACTCTATTTTCAAAATTGATGGCACAGATTTCTGTTATTTTTTAACAATTTAGTGCAGTTTTACTATTTTTCATAGAGTTGCAAAGACTGCCTCATTAAAGTGTGTTAATGTAAAGTACAGATTATCTCTTTTTAGCATGGAATGTACTAATACAGTTTATCTTTCTTTAGCATGGAGTGACATGGTACATATTATCTCATTTAAGCATGTAATATATTGGTACAGATTATCTCATTTTAGTATGGAATGTACTGGTACATATTATCTCATTTAAGCATGTAATATATTGGTACAGATTATCTCATTTTAGTATGGAATGTTCTGGTACAGAATATCTCATTTAAGCATGTAATATATAGGTACAGATTATCTCATTTTAGTATGGAGTGACATGGTACATATTATCTCATTTAAGCATGTAATATATTGGTACAGATTATCTCATTTTAGTATGGAATGTTCTGGTACAGATTATCTCATTTAAGCAACAATGTAATGAATGGTACAGCTTATCTCATTGAAGCATGGAATGTACTGGTACAGATTATCTCATTTAAGCAACAATGTAATGAATGGTACAGCTTATCTCATTAAAGCATGGAATGTACTGGTACAGATTATCTCATTTAAGCAATAATGTAATGAATGGTACAGCTTATCTCATTAAAGCATGGAATGATACAGTACAGATTATCTCATTTAAGCATGGAATGTACTGGTACAGATACTCATTTAAGCATGGAATGAAAGGGTACAAATTATCTCATGTAAGCATGGAACAACTGGTACACCTTACCTTATTTAAGTGATACAATGGTACATAAGATCTTATTTAAGAATAGGACAGTGTATCAAAATGATCTCATTTAAGCATACAGATAGTCTCCTAGGAACTTTACAGAAGCTGTTTTAATTACTAACATTTGACAATATATATATCTATGATTTATTCTTTGATATATAATATATATAGGTCTGAATGAGGAACTAATTTTCATAAATAATTTATCACTGATGTAAAATATTCCCTTTGTTCAGCTTCAGCTGGGACTGAGAAAAGTTTGTATTCAAATAAATACTTTAAGCATTTTTATAAATCAATTTGTTATAATTTAAATAAAATTTATGAACTATTTGTCCTAGAAACAACCTAATATATGTAGGGCAAAGTTATTTTTAGATTCAATTTTTTGAACCACTTAAGTGACACAAGATATAGTAAATTTACCTTCTTCCTCTATACAAAAATTTCATTCAACCATGTTATATGAAAGAAACTCAGATGTCAAATGATAAAATTTTAATGTAAAAAGGCCCGCTTAAATTTAATGTATAAGTATCAAATATAATTCAGTCACATTACCATAACCAAAGAAAGTCATGACAAAACGTGTCTGAGTCATTGTCATGTCTAACAATGACATATATCTTTTTTATCCTGCTTAATTTATGTCATTGTTATATACTCCTGCTTTGGGATTTCTATATCATTTTATTCATGATTTTGGGAATATACAAGAGCCTTGTCAGCAAATTTTAAGCAAGCTGGTCTGGTATTGTACTGATGGCCTTGACAATTATTTGTCTTGCATTGTAAAGGTCATGTTTATTCATTTTCAAGATTTATTCAGCCAATTTATTGATGCAATTGACTAAAAAATCAAGTCTTGTATTCAATATAAACTACACAGGAAATGTACACTGAGAATCTTAAAATTATCAAAGTAAAATTTAATTAAAATTCATATTTGAGAAAATTGTTGATTCTGAGTGACTTTTAATGTTTTTGTAAACTTCACAGAAAATTTTCAATCAATTAAAGTCATTATTGTAAAACAGCTAATTTTAACATCTTTTCAATAATCGTGATGTTAAAATAAATACCATATATACTGCTGTTGTCAATTTATGAAATAATTTTTTTTTATATCTAATAAAATTTGCTGTATTTTAAATTTGTTATAAAGATCCTGACAGGTTATATGGTCGTATATAAATGCTTTTAGCAATATTACCCTGGACTTTATATATGCAAACAATCATTTATATAGGGCCATATAACCTGCCAAAAATCTTTATAACTAATAATATATAGAACTAATTGAAAACATTAACGTTTGCTTCTACTTTTATTTTCATTTCATGGATCAAAAACCTATCTAGTGAAAAATCTAATGTACCAGTACACACATTGCATGCAAGCACTTTTTATTTTTTATATCATACAGCTTTAAAACAAAAGTCCTGTTCTATTTTATTTTAAAAAATCTGAGTGTACTTTTACTGTACTTTTAATTTAATGACCTTGACATGAGTAAAATGCGACACAGATTTAATTTGATATTACTTTTAAATTTGTTTTTCGTGCATTAAAATAGATATTGTGGTACACCATCGACTGCTGTAGGTTGGTTCAACTATTTTAACATGAAAGCTTTTATGAATCAATATTTAACTTATAAAACTTTATTACATTCTCCCCTTGATTTTCTCGTTTATATTTTCAAATCCAAGCTGGATAGTTTTATCTTTTCAACACCTGCTCCTTAATGATTTCAATACCTTTGCAAAATGCAGCCGTTAAGATTTGACATGATTAGCCACCAGGATTTTTTTTGTTACTTTATTCACTTTCAATATAGGAAAGTTTCTGCCAAAATTCTAACAGAGACTGATTACAGTGCCAAATCTGGCGTATGAATACATACTTGATAAAGGAGTTTTGCGTTTAAATAGGAATCCCTTATCTCGCCGCCGTAGAATTGGACTCTGGGTAATGCGTCGCTCCATGACCTTCTGTTTTAGCGCCGAGCGCACCTTTAAATTTGGTTCAGACGCTGAAAGCAAGAACAGACATGTCAAACAATCAAGCCCAAACAACATCATGTAAAAACCATCATGCAACAGAATGTGACATGTCATTACCATCCAAAAATAGACCGTCTTTATTACATTTAACATTTACACACAAAAGAAATCTGACATATAAAAATTAAACATGAAAATTTTCAAAAGTAGCTTTATTATATTTAAAAACAGGATAGAATTTTTCTCCTTTTTTTTTTACAGCAGACGGTCAATTTTTTCATGAGATGTCACAATTGTCAGAGACATTCATTCAACTCTAAAACTATAAATACATACAATTTCAATATATACAAATAGAATTCCATCATACATTTGTCTGTATAATCTTTTGTAACAGCTAACATGTTTTTCAATGCACCAAGAGCTTTTTAAGCCAAATTAATCTGGTACACCAATGTTTGATTTAATTTCTTTCCCCACAAATTTGGCATGTTTGCTGTAGAGTATAATACTTTTTATGTTTATGACAAGATATTGGGACAAGGAATTAAATTGTGCAAAAAATTGCATGTTCTTTAAGAAGGGAAAAAATCAAACAGAGGCAGTTTAAATGTTTTGTATCAGTACAGAACATTCCTTATTGGCTTATACCTATATACTTAAATAATAGTTAAAACATTTATCTTTTGTTCCCGAAGCCAAGTTTGGCCCCTGCAGTTATTAAAAGCATACAAAAAGGGGTTATAACTCTGTATAATATGATATAAACATCACAGTGGAATGAAGCAAGAATAAACTTCAACTTCTTAATTTGCTGCGTGTGGCCAAATGATTAATGAGTCTTGTTAGCTACATGGACTCAAACCCCCATCAGAGGTAGGCGAATTGTTCATTGAACAAGAAACATAAAACTCATTTCTTACTAGTATGTGATTCGAGAGTGTGTCTTAAATAAACTTCAAGTATGACCTCGAGACCGTTTAAATCCAGGTCATTTTTTGTAAAATAAAATGTTAATGGGTTCAGGAGAAAGTACATATTAACGAAGTACTGAGGCACTCAATGTTCAGCTTATGTTATGTCTCGTAGATTTAGGAATTTCAAATTCCTAGATCAAACAGTATTGATATTAAAAAGTTTGTTTGTTTCTTTTTACACCTTTTCCCAACAGTATTTCAGTCATATAGGTGGGTAGTTTCCTAACCATTGTTCCTGGAGAGTAACACCAGTACTAGACTACCTTCCTCCGTGCTAAACTACCAAAGCATCGGGGATCCAACCCATGCCAGAGAGGTAACTGGATTAGAAGTCATCGACTCTAACCCCTCGACCACGGAGGCGGTTATTAAAAAGGAATTGCTTCAGAAAAAAATAAATTTCCATTATAGGGTATTACAAAGAAAAACATAAAAGTTCTTTTTTTGTCAATGTTTGTCTTGTTCATATTTCCAATACTCAATTTCCTATATTTCAAATCAAGACTAGCATTCACAGTTTCCTAAGGCTATTCTATGTTATTTATACATCAAGAAACATTCCAAGTCAACTATGAAATGCAATGTGTTATTGTATAAAACATTAAAATTAATACCTAATACATCATGTCATTCTGTTATTACACCTTTGTTAGTACAAAGACAGTAAAGACGTTTGATTTTAGTATTACTATCTACAATGTAGTTCATGACACAGTTTTGTTTTGCCATGTTAATAACCTATATATACTACGCAATTTGTGAGGATGTTTTAATTTCCCTGCAATGAATATGGTTAATTATTGTTCATTCAAGTTATTTCAATTATGAATCTGAATGGTATGATTATGACATACACAGGCTGACCTGACTCATCAACACTCAAAGAATGATAAATCTATTTTATAAATCATTGACCGATTTTTTTCAAGAGTAAACAAAGTTGGTTGCTTTTGTAAATTAAGAATGAGTCAACAAACCGCAAAAATAAAGAAAATGCTGAAATCTTTTGATGGAGTAGACACTTCATTAATTTTGACATTTCTGTTTTTATCTACATGATGACAATGCTATAAAGATAGGGGAACTTTTGTTTGCTTCAAATGATATAACTGAACTTTTAAATGGTAAATATAATAACAATTATGCTAGTACAGTATATGATGATTCATGATGATGATGATGATATTTATTAAGTTGATGATGATGATGATGAAAAATGATGACAATAATGATGACAGTAATGATGATGCTGACAATGATGGTGATGATGATATTGAAGAAGATAATACAAATTAAAATGATGATGTTGGTGTTGATGATAATAATGATGATAATTATGTTGGCAATTATGTTGATGATGAAAATGATGATGATAAAGATGGAGTTTAGGATTTAACTATACAAATAACTGAAACTAGAACTATCACTAAATGTGATTAATACCCCCACAAGACTGCTTCGGAAATGAGGATGTTACTAGTAACAAAATACCTTGTAAAAGAATTGAAATATAGAGTTATGGTTGTGGGCAATTAAAGATAGTTGTGGTTCTTGTATGTTGCATTTCCTTTCAATGTGGTTGGCCATTGATGAAGTTTAATTGAATTACTCTGTAATAAGTCCAGAAAGACAAAGAAAAGGAACAAAGGGCAATAACTCTATAAATACTGAAGATAGAGTTATAGTTCTTGTGCACTGCACTTCCTCTTATTGTGCTTGACCATTGTATGAAGTTGTTTTGAATTCCAACCAGTACGTTTTAAGTTATGCTCCTGACAAGGAAAAGTATCAAAGGGCAGTAACTCTGTATTTTGTCAAAATGGAGTTATGGCTCTTGTGCACTGCACTTCCTTCTAATGTCCTTGACAACTGTATGAAGTTGTATTGAATTCCAACCATTAGTCTTCAAGTTATGGTATGGACAAAAAAAGCAATGGAAAAGTAACAAAGGGCAATAACTCTAATAACTGTAATATCTTTAGTTAGAGTTATGGTTCTTGTGCACTGCACTTCCCCTTATTGTGTTTGACAATTGTATGAAGTTGTTTTAATTCCAACCAGTAGTTTTCAAGTTATGCCTCGGACAAGGAAAAGTAACAAAGGCCAATAACTCTGTAATTAGTCAAGATGGAGTTATTGTTCTTATGCACTGCACTTCCTCTCAATATGCTTGACCATTGTATGTAGTTATATTGAATTCCAACTATTAGTCTTCAAGTTATGGTCCGGACAAAAAAAAGCAATGGAAAAGCAACAAAGGGCAATAACTCTGTAATTACTTTAGATAGAGTTATGGTTCTTGTGCACTGCACTTCCCCTTATTGTGTTTAACAATTGTATGAAGTTGTTTTAAATTCCAACCAGTAATTTTCAAGTTATGCCCCGGACAAGGAAAAGTAACAAAGGCCAATAACTCTGTAATTAGTCAAGATAGAGTTATGGTTCTTATGCACTGCACTTCCTCTCAATGTGCTTGACCATTGTATGTAGTTATATTGAATTCCAAGTTATGGTCCGGACAAAAAAAAAAAGCAATGGAAAAGCAACAAAGGGCAATAACTCTGTAATTACTTTAGATAGAGTTATGGTTCTTGTGCACTGCACTTCCCCTTATTGTGTTTGACAAATGTATGAAGTTGTTTTGAATTCCAACCAGTAGTTTTCAAGTTATGCCCCGGACAAGAAAAAGTAACAAAGGGCAATAACTCTGTAATTAGTCAAGATAGAGTTATGGTTCTTGTGCACTGCACTTCCTCTCAATGTGCTTGACCATTGTATGTAGTTATATTGAATTCCAACCATTAGTCTTCAAGTTATGCTCCGGACAAGGAAAATGCAACGAACGTCTGGACCAACCGACCGACCGACCAGTGGGTGACTCCTATATACCCCCACAAACTTCGTTTTTGGGGGTATAATAATTTTTGACAAAATGCTGCTCAAGAAACGAAAACAAAACCTGGCAAAAAAATAATAAAAATGTGGAAAAAAAAACAACAAAGGTCAAAGAAAAATGTGTATACAATTTGTGTATGCATAATAGAAAAAAACTGCTGACTATTGTGATTAATAATTTTTGTCTCTAAAAAAGCACGCAATAACCTACATTTTAGAATCAATACAACCATTACAATGTCAATTATTGAATATAATAGTCAACCTGTCAAGTAAATTTTCAGGTAAAGACCCCCAGGCTTGCTTTGATTGCGCTAGTTTTCTTAAATACAAGAACATAACACAGACAAATACGAGGAACAAGAACTTTTAAAACAATTATCTGATGCTTACAAAAAGAAAATCAATGTAAAGAAGTTGCAAACATTGTAAAATGTTACATGAGGAAACCTATTAAGTATTGTAAGTAAGTATTTAGGGAAACTTAAAAATTACACTTAAAAAAATTATAGTGTATAACAAAGGGGTGCTAAGGTCTAATTTTCAGTTCCCTTAAACTATAACAGTATTCTCATTGTTATAGAAATAATACAAAATGAAGATTATGGACTTCTAGTTATTTTCATCTTGTTTTCCTTATTTATTTTGTTGATTTTATGTCACTTGAACACTATTAAGGTAATATGGCGACTTTGCAGCTTTACTGGTGGAGGAAGACCTCAAGTGCTCCCCTGTGCATTATTTTAGGTATGAATGGGCAACTGAGTCAAGACCCAGTGAAATTCTGTAAGCTATCTAAAATAAAGCTACGTGAAACGTTCATGGTAAGATTTGAACCAGGCCATTGATTTGATGCTAACTATCTGAACAACTCCACCTCAGTGCCCCAACATCAACTGTAAGGCATACTGGATACTTTCATGAATTAAGCTGCTAATAATATTTTCAATATGCATAATTCTGGTGTCCTAACCCTTAATGTACCAAAAGTAATTAACCTTTGCCACAGTAGCCTTGACATCATGCAGTCTGACCAACTTCATTAATGCTATCAATATTTGTACTTTGATACTAAAACTCCTTAAGCTTTGAACGGACTGTTTGAAATTCAAATCTGCACAAATCCTTCACTTGAATACAGTAGGATGAGGAGGTCTACCCTCAAAAGTGCCTCAAGAAAAATACTAGAAATGTCAAATTAATAGCAATCTGCATAATAAAATTATGTTTGTGAAAACTTTTGTGATTCAACATCAGGTAATCCTTTAATGAATACTTTATTACATGTGGTTAATAAAAAATATGTAAAGTGTATGCAAAGTTATTCAAATAACATCAATCAAATGCGTAAAAATAGCCTCTATTAAACAAGTATTTGCTGTTTTGATCTAAATTTAAATTTTGTTAGTCATACACTTTAAAATTCAGGTTTTATTGCCGCATTAACAGTTTTATTTGGCCATATATTTTTTTGGTGCGTGTGACCTACTTACAGCACAAGGTGATTAGTCATCAACAGACTATTTAAACTTCAATATTAATAAGCTAGTTTTACTAAAAATAGCAATGGAATGTCAGAAATGAAAGAAATTTACTTACAAAAAAAAATAGTTCCTGCTTACAAATACATGTTGTTGTTTTTTTAGAAATTATATTTAAGAAGAATCTATTTCAATAATTTTTTTTCATCACAGTTATTCAGAAGCAATATCATGAATACATCATATATACTGCAAGCCTCCAGATGTAGAACCAAATTAAAGTTATTTTCCCTGCGGAAACCTAAAGTGATTAGCCTTTGCCATCAGTATATAATCCGGCAAGCTGAACAGTCTGAAGACGACCTATACTGTTGGTTAATGATTATTCCCCCCCCCCACAAAAAAATGATAATGGACAGATCCAAAACTAACTGGAAGTATTGGAATTTTCAGAATGTTAAGGGTTTTTTTAAAATTACAATCAATAATGTTTAACAGAAAAATAACAGAAATTACTATCTAATATAACCTCAGTTGCCTTAAATTAATTGGTTATTTCTGAAAATACTTTATATAAACTTTATATGTTTGTGGACAAGAAGGACATATGGCTATGTAGACAACAGCAACTTATGATTTTGATAACAATAAGAACATAATTATGGTTATGTGGACAATCAGGACTTATGGCTATTGATCCAATATTTCATTAAATCTAAATACATACCTGTTTTTCTGAGCGGAAAATCATCATCATATTTTCCGAGTAGGGTATGACTGTATGGTGGTGATAAGCCTGTGGTAGGCGGGGAATTCTGATCTAATGGCCTAAATAAAAGATAGAGAAACAATAAGAGAAACAATAATAAATACAATCTGAAAATATCTGTCACTTAACCAGCCTGATAAATCAATTAAAAAATAATGTGTTAAATAATAATTATTTAAAAAGCAAAGCTAAGACAACCAATGCGTAACGAAAGGATATATAAAATATTCATTAAGATTGGCTGACTACATGATACTTGAATTTCAACTTTTATTCTCCTATGTATTATTTCTATAGTAAAAGTCACTGCCTCATTTTAAATTTAATTTGTTCTTTTGTCTTTACATCAAAATTGCTTTTAACTTTATTTCTATGTCTGATCAACAAATTAGTATTATCAATTGCATCCCACTATTTCCCCTGTACTTGGATTCGTTGTTTACATAAACTGTATCCCATAACCTCAACATCATGACTAAACTAATTGATTTTGTTCTATATAAGGGTATACAAGATGAGGCTGAGTAATGACGTTATTTCCTGATATGTTTACTGATCATACAACACAGCCGTCCTTTCTGATAATCTGCCGTCATTCCCGTAAATAGAGCGAGTATCAAAACAAGTTAATTGTAGGGAAAAGTAGAGAAAGTGAAAACAAGTACAAATGTCAACAACAGAAGGTGACTTCCAGGCTAGTGATGTCATGATAATGACTTCTAAAAAAATCACAAAACATCTGAAATGGTACATATGTACCAGGCATCAATCTCATTGAGAATATCACATGACATTAGCACTGGAATTTGATAATTGTCTGCACCTACTTTATAAAACAACAAATTTGTATATCTTTAAACTTTTTCAAAAAAATATTGGAAATTCTAAAAAGAAGTATATAAAATCATTTTACAACACATAGGAAGAATAATTTCTGTATTTTTTAAGGCTGGTACACCTCAACAAGCACTTAATAAAAAAATTCTAAAATTGAGAAAAAAAATACCATTAGATATGGAATGGAAAGGATTTAAACCCTAATAATATTAGCTGTTAAATACAGACATCAAAGAAGCCATGCCATGTATGAACAAAACCCTGTTTCACAACATCTTAATTGTCCTTTCACAGAACAGTCATTTATAACCAATGGCCAACATACACTTGGAAAGGTGTCAGGGGATAGCGAGAAAAATTAGTTGAGTCTTTAACTTTTGTCTGTCCCCACACTGCCAGACATAAAGAGGTACATAGTCTTGTTTTGGCACCAAATGGCAAAATACATAATTTTTCTTAATTAAACATATAAAATGTATATATTTTCTTAGTTATTTAAGAATCAAACAAATCAAGCACAAACACAGTCCACTGAAGGGGACTTATATATGTATGCTAATTATCACAACTGGGGACTTTATTTTAGCCCACAACAAAAGGATTTCAAAATGCTTAAGTCCAACACTGCAGGGGACTATTTTTACTAAAAACCAATAATGAATTTAAATCACAGCAGGAGAGACCTTTTTCCAGCAAAATGAAATCAATATAGTCAGTAGTACCAATATCTGCCAGGGACTACTTTTTCTAGCCCTTGAAATCATCATTAAATAATAATGGCCATCACTACGGTGGACAACAGCTTCTTCTTTCACTTGTTATTAATTTTCAATATTCATGGCCATCGATGCTGGGGACTACTTTTTATTCTTCTCTTGAAATGATTGTAAAATATTAATGCCTCACCAATGCCGAAACTGTGGGGGACTATTTCTCACTGCCGCCTCACGTTGTTTCTTAGACAAAACAAAATCCTGGAGCCTCTGTTTTACCTCTGTTGACGCAACTGCACCTGCAAAATGCATCAATAAACACATGAAATCCCCCTGTTAAACAAGAGTCTGTACAACCTTACATTTCCTGCACAACTGTTACACTTTTCTTCATTGTTTCATTATTTTAAATGAATAGAGGACTTGTTAACCACTGCAACAGTTCAAATTCCAATACGTCTCTTCAGGAAATGGTGCATGCATAGGAAAAGTGCTCAAAGGATGATTCTAAAAATTGTTCTATAAATAACCAGTTGCCTTATTATATTTTGACTACAGTTAAAGACCAATCTGGGTCCATTATTAAAATTGTAATGGAACAAATTTTGGAATTAAAAAACGAGGCAATTGAGGAAATATTCGATATAATAAGTCAGTCTACATGTACCAGATCAGCCTACATAAATACCAGGTCAGCCTATACATATATAGCAGGTCAGCCTACATATATAACAGGTAAGCCGTCATATATACAAGGTAGGCCTACAAATATACCAGGTCAGCCTACATATATACCAGGTCAGCCTTCATATACACCAGTTCAGCCTACATACATACCAGGTCAGCCTACATACATACCAGGTCAGCCTACATATATACCAGGTCAGCCTACATATATACCAGGTCAGCCTACATATATACCAGGTCAGCCTTCAAATATAATCCAGGTCAGCCTACATATATACAAGGTCAATCTACATATATACCAGGTCAGCCTACATATAAACCAGGTCAGCCTACATATAAACCAGGTCAGCCTAAATATACTAAGTCTAAATACATAAAATATACCAGGTCAGCCTTTACATACCATGTAAGCCTACATATATACCAGGTCAGCCTACATACATACCAGGTCAGCCTATATATATATATACCAGGTCAGCCAACATACATACCAGGTCAGCCTACATATACCAATCTGCTTACATATATACCAGGTCAGCTTACATATATACCAGGTCAGCCTACAGATATACCAGTTCAGCTTACATATATACAAGGTCAGCCTACATATAAACCAGGTCAGCCTACATATATACAAGGGTCAGCCTACATATGAACCAGGTCAGCCTACACATAAACCAGGTCAGCCTATATAAACCAGGCCTTGGTGTTAAATTCTTAACAGTTAAGCCATAGTGTGTCTTTAACTTGTACTTCTTAGTTATCAACAACTTTCATGTAGCTACCATATAATTTCATCACCTCAAAACTAATCTGGAATCACTTTATATAGAAAATTCACAAGAAAAGACGAATATTTACAAGATCTTCCACCCGGAAATAACAAAATATGTTTACCAAGCCAACATAACATGAATATTTTGGCATGAAACAATTACCAGAAATGGCACACTTTGTTTCTTATTGTTACATTGATATTAATTGTAACAGCTATCATTTAATTATCATTTACACTACTGTCAATCTAATTAACATGCATACATTAACAGTGAGAACAAATGGGACAGTTATTATTGAGAAGATGAAAGGCTATAACATTCTAACGCTTGAAGCAAAATAGTCCTAACTCTGGTAAAATACATAGGAAGATAGGAGCATATTGCATCGTACATTTTATTTCATCATAGTATGTATTTTACTTTCTAGGTCAATGGATTATTATATAAACTGTGGAGACAACCTAAGGAAATCTTGTCCTAGCACTGTATATGTAATTTAACTGTAGTCTAGTGGCAGCAACAGATCAGCTCCGACATGCCATCTGCACTACTCACTATTCCGTCACTTCATTATTTATTTCAATATTTTCCCGCAAAATTGATTAACGTGTCTGTCCAGATAGAAATAAGGTAACATCATGAACCGAGACTTAAACTTGGATTGTATATTGGTGGCAGTCAAGTCATTTGGCAATGAGCATCCAAACACTTATTCCCCTCTCCCATTTTTTTCTTGGTCTGTTCCGAAATTTACAAACATTGACCTATTGTTAGTGGCCGTTTCATTTTGAATTTAATCAATTATATTATTGACTAGTTTATTTAATCAACTCTGATTGACTACAAGTTGTATGTTATAGATCCCTGACCTGTCTAATTCTAATTATCAGATTAGTGGATACAATAAGAATTTCACCACAACATATTTGTTAACAAAAGAGCACATGCCAATGTTTTGTGGTTAAATCTATTGTTATCAGAGTAGGGATCTATCAAAAGTTGTAATCTGGCGCACAATTTTCTTGAATTTTTTTCACTGTTTTCTTAGAATCACTTGCAACTTACTACGCAACAGGTTCAAATCCTGAAAGTGACTTCGGGATGGACATTTAGACAATTGTTCTATTAAGGTTTTCTGCTTGTGTTTTGTAATAATGCAGCAAAGCTTAATAATCATCATAAAATATTACCTTTTCTGTGTCAGCGTGACTTTAATCACAACATAAATATGTCTATTGTATTATTCAAGTATGCTACCAATAAAAGGTTATGCCAAGAACAGACTATAACATTGAAAAGACAAACAAGTCAGGAGTGGTGCCTATTACAACCACCTACTATTTTTTTCATTCATTCATTTATTGCCGTTGTGTTGTGACAACAATTGTTAGCAGCACTTAATTTCACTTGAACAACATAGAAAATAGTCTATCTAAAGTGTGATGAAAACAGCAGGCCTAAGAATAAAGTTCCCCATTTAAGTATCTACTTCATTCATAAAAACATTGAACAATACTATGAATGGGCAACATCACGCTTTGCTTTAAATAACATATCTATCAATCATGATAAACAGCCATTTATTTTTTTATCTCAAATGATCAATAACTTGCCAGATTTCAAAAACAAAATCACTGAATGAAAATTGGAAAACTCGTTATGATTTCCTCTCAATTAATAACTCTTATGAAAACTATTTTTTTCTGGCGTGCTTTATTTATGTTTATCTGACATCAGACACCGTGTACATTGTATTTTCAAACAATACTATTATCAAGACAGACACTTCAATAACCTGACTGTCAACACAATGAAAACAACATTGATTGAATTTGCTTATCTTTAACACTTTACCTGCGGAGATCATCACCTTCCTTTTTTTGAAACTGTACATTATCAATTGGGATATCAAGGCAATAAATTTAAAGTTTGTTAGACAACAGTGTAGAGTCGAGCCGACCAGCAAGGGCACTTAAAAAAAAACCTTCAAAGCACAGGAACACAGCACTTAAGTATAAAATTATGAAACAAAAACGAAACAAAAAGTTTTGACCCACAGCATTTCATTGGTTAGTTGAATTTACAGATTTTAACCAATGGCTGTATTTTGTTTCTCGACAGGTCTTCTGTCTTTCTTTAAAACAACATTACAAGAGTATTTCTCGACAGCAATTCCGTCTATCTTTAAAAACAATATTGCAATCAGTAATCTTGTCAAAAAACTTGCTATTTGACCAATTAACAGAAAAAAATCTCATATTTCTGACTGATAAATCAATTTCGCTTTGAGTGTTCCCTGTAGTACATGCCATGGTCATGCTGGGATGGACAGCTACTTGTTAATTCATATTTCTCCTTAATTCTCAATCTTTAATGTTTGACCTTTGCCTTTAAGGTCTTGAAGGTCATACCAGAAGAGACTGAAACAGTTACTAAGCAAAACAACCAGTTGACATTGTATTCATACTGGTCTAAAATATATACGAGCCGTGTCACGACAAAACCAACATAATGCGTTTGCGACGAGCATGGATCCAGACCAGCCTGCGCATCCGCGCAGTCTGTTCTAGATCCATACTGTTCCCTTACAAACCCTATTACAAGTAGAGAAACTGATAGCGAACAGCATGGATCATGATCAGACTGCGCGGATGCGCAGGCTGATCTGGATCCATGCTGGTCGCAAACCCACAATATTGGTTTTGTCGTGACACAGCTCGATTACTCACTCTCTTCCTCCTTGTTTTTGTTCTTGATCTGTGAGAGTCGAGTTTTCTCGTGGATTTCCTTCTCAATTCTCTGTCTCTCCTCAAGCTTCTGCTGCTCGGCAAGATATTCTTGCTGTTTCTGTATCAACACCAGTTGCTATAGAAACAAAAAACACAGAGGTCATAGTTACATATTTGTATACTGAACAAACTATGCTAATATAGGATTATGATAATACTAAAGATATTTTTAATTTGTTTTTTTAATAGCATTTTGACATATTAAAGTAACCATTTCACTTTAAATTCTACTTCATCTATCACAGGTTGTTTCACAGTCACACTACAAATGTCTTTGATCTTTGCAATCTAGGTTTTGTCATATTTTTGCAATCCAATTAATCATGAGTAAGATAGGGTAAATAACTATAAGTATTACATGATAGCAAACTAGCACTAAATGTTAAGACTAACTTCATGTGATATTTGTTAGACAATAACAAACAAAACTTCCTTAAAAATATTGAATTCTGCAAGTGAACCTAAAAATATTAAATTTTCAAATAATTATGTTCAATGTGGCACCAATGCTTGCTTTAGAAACAACAAAGTTCAAGACTGGTAGACATCAAAACAACATAATCAAAACAACATACACCTCTATAACTTAAGTATCAGTAAGACCCCTGGTTCAAAATACAGTTATATTTATGAGTGTCATCAAAACAACAAAAAGTTAAAGTGAAATGGTCTGTTATAACATAAATAAAAATGTTGATATCAGTGGGTATCATATGTGAAAACAAATTAGGAAAGAACTATGTATAGGAATGTTGTTGGTCAGTGTGACATACATGATACAATATGACATACAATATGACATATGATACAGCAGATAATAAATTGAGCCGCGTCATGACAAAACCAACATAATGGGTTTGTGACCAGCATGGATCCAGACCAGCCTGCACATCCGCGCAGTCTGATCAGGATCCATGCTGTTCGCTATCAATTTCTCTAATTGCTATAGGGTTTGTAAGCGAACAGCATGGATCATGATCAGACTGCGCGGACGCGCAAGCTGGTTGGATCCATGCTAGTCGCAAACCCATTATGTTGGTTTTGTCTTGACGCAGCTCAATTGTTCTAGAACACAATATTATTACTCTTTACATGAATGTTTATTCTGAATCACTTAGAACTCTATTATCACTTAGAACTCTATTAACATTTTTTTTTCAAGCAATATTTTACAAGAATATCTAAGAGATACATCTTATTGCTTTTTTATATAAATATCAACAATACATATGGAAAATGTGTCCATTGTAGACCAATCCCCTTTAATGCCAATAATACATTATAACAATGACTAATTAAATATAACCAGTTCTTACTTATACATACAAAGCTTAAACTTTTACAGAATTTTAGACTCTTTGGGACTCTTAAACTGTTGATTTTTTTTAATGGGCTCAGTCCAGCCTTTATTTTTGGAAATGTCCGTTAATGATTTTTTTATGGGAATAATCACAAATGAATTAAGCCCATGCATTTAATCATGCAAATACCTGTTATGCTCTTTAATTTTTTTATGCGACCAAGTTTATAAACAAACTAGAACAATTCTAAAAATCCCGATGGTCTAACATGTAATAAGTTAATATATTTTCTTACTGCACCTGAGACTGGCATAGATAAGTTTAGGAATAATTAATTTGACTAACTGGAAAAAATGATGGAACAATTGCTGCCTAGTTTCAAGAAAATCTATCTATGGTTGCGGTGAAGGTTTCAAGGTTTTTCTGTTTTTAGCTCTGGGGGCCATCTTGTTCATCAGACCAGAACCACATGAGAAACTCCTATAGAGGACCTGTCAAGGGTTTTCCTGTAGTTTCATCAATACTGGCTAAGAAGTTATGGAAGTGATGTTGTTTAAGTAAAAATGTCAATGATAAACAACGCACATTGGGGTATCACAATAGCTCACCATGAGCATTTTGTGCACTGTTGAGCTAAAGACAAAGCATCAGTTTATTTTAGTTTGATATCAAAATACATTGTTTTGATGGTGTTTTTATTGTTATAATAGAAGATCCTTATATCCTTATTTTATTTGTTTACCTTCTGATGCCAGTTTACCACATTTCAGTCTTGACAATTTCCAAATTTTACAGTTTCAGGATACTTAGCAAGATTTACAGTCATTTAATCAGCAAACTTCTCTACATAAATCAATTCAATCAGTAAGAGCTTATCATTATCCTGCTGTATTTTTTACATGGATTTTTCCAACTTACATTTTTGGAACAGTCCATTATAAATTTTGGGATATTGAGGTGAAGATTTAAAGTAATTGAACAATTTATAGCCTCAGGTCAAATGCAACAGTTTTGGCGTCAGATGTGAGCAAGTGTTTCAGTTGCATGTAAGGGTTTCAGATACGTGTAAGGGAAAACATGTGCCACTACCGAGACTTGAGTCCATGAATCTGATATAAATGTATATACACATTGCTCCCTAATACAAAGCTATACATGCAGGTAAACAATTACAGTTCCACATAAATATGATGCATGATCTACCACTAACAAAATTACTAATTTTACAAATTCAACTTAACTATAAATAGTCTTACAGTTGTCTTAAATGGACTTTCATTCTGGACAAAATCATTTATTATTTTTAGGGGAAATGTCAAAATATGTAATGGTTGAATAGCAAGCAGATCATGATCAGAGGGCAATTGGATGTATTGGCTGATCTAGGTCTGCACTGGTTGCATGCGTAGAATCAGTTGCTATTAGCTTCAGACATAAGTTTTGGACATGGTGCTTCACACCAAGCATTCAAAGAAAATCATTATTTACTAAGCTGAAAATTTTCTTTAAATTTCCGCATCGCAGATTGTGGTGGCATATAAAAAAGATTTACTTGTACATTTTAAGATGATCAGTATTTTAGCACTTCATTCATATCTGATTTTCATTTTTGTTTGTCAAAGAATTGTTTATAAATAGTTGCTATTGGCAACACATACAAGAATACTATGTTATAATGAAATTGTAAGACAATGTAACATTCCCACTTCCACAGACAGTCTGTCCCAAATTGGTCATTTCCTTTTAATTTACTGGTTGTTTTGGTTGGTCGTCATGCGTTATTTTATTTCTGGGTTTTCTTAGTAAATGACCATCAGTGATGGACATGTTTAAAGCAACATCTAACCCGATGGCAACAATCAAATGATTACAGCTTGAATCCCTATTAACAACAGATCAAAAATAGATGAAACCCTACATTTGTAGACAGGTTGTCATTTGATGGTAAAATGGATATTTTCAGCGACCGAGAATTTTAAAAGTGCCATTCATATATATGTGTATAAATCATCACTGAATGTTAGAACAGAACACTGCAAGGCCAAAAACAAGAGAGACAACAACATGTCATGCCAAGTAAATGGAAATGTCTAGATTTTTATCGCAACATTTAATTGTAACTTATCCCTCAACCCTTACCATGCTAAATATCTGAACTGGTCTTATCTACCTTTCAATACTTTAAATATAATTTAAATCCTCACTAAATAGCACAGTGCAGACCACGATCAGAGTGCATGGATGCTCAATTTGAGTTATTTAATGGCTTGTCATCTATGTAGATTTGAATCCCTCCAGGACTTAATGAGCTATCATTTGAGGAGGCTATACTGCTAGCATAGACAAGTAACTTCTAACCAGATGGCTGTTTATATAATGTAGCTGAGCTCACACTAGTAACTCTGGTAGTTCAAGGTGCCAAATTACCTTAACAAAGGTTGACCCTTAACCTGCTGGAACTGGAGATGGTGCAGGCTGACCAGACTACTGGTAGCTCATATATGTACTTGGATATAGAAATCTTTAAAACATTGACCAGACTGTTCTAAATTCAAAGAAAAGCAAATCCATTACATAAAGCAGGTTTAAGGCTAAAGCCAACGTTCTATCCCCCACAACCACTTCTTGCGACCAAAAGATTCCGTCAAGTTACATAACTGTTGCGTTAAGAAATCCTAGACACGTCACTCACAACAATACCTTAAAATGTTCTTGCATCTGGCGGTCATGCTCTTTAGCTAACTGTTCTTGTTGAAACTACAAACATACAAAACATGCCTATATTACATAATCTTAAACAAACTAAACTTTTAAACAATTTCGAGTGTTCCGCTAGAAAAAAAATGCTTAGCAGGTAAAACAAGTGTTCATATAAAAACTGTAAAACATGCAAAATATTCATGAACAACTACATGATTCCATGAGACTAAATGCTTACAAATCAACATCCACCATGTCAATGTGGTCTTTACTAGCTTTTGAAGTAAATTAAATGGCTTGCATTTACACTAACAGGCTTGCAAAAAAGATGTCTTAAATATTAGATTTGCAAATTTTTGAAAGTCAATCCATGCATTGAAGTTTATTTTTTAAGAATAAAATTGAATGAAAAATCAAAATGATAATGGATTCTTTGTTTTAAAAAATGGGTGTACAATAAAAAAATATTAAAACATGTATAATTATAAATCATGTATACTTGGATAGTAGATTTTTATCTATGCAAGTTCATTTTGGTTGTACTGAGTTGAAATTTCCTGTACATATATATAAGCTTACAAAAACTTTAAAAGTGCAGAAAAATATTTCTTTCTAGTCCTGCACACTCACATGCCATGTTCTATCCTTACAGCATGCATACTGCAATGCTTCTATCTTATAGTTTTCACATGTGATTTTCCCTTGACAAACCATGTAAATTTCTCATGACAAACCATGTAATTTTCACATGACAAACCATGTACATTTCTCATTACAAACCATGTAAATTTCACATGACAAACCATGTAATTTTCACATGACAAACCATGTAATTTTCACATGATAAACCATGTAAATTTCACATGACAAACCATGTAATTTTCACATGACAAACCATGTAAATTTCACATGACAAACCAAGTAAAATTCACATGACAAACCATGTAAATTCACATGATAAACCATTTAAAGTTCTCATGACAAACCATGTAATTTTTACAAAGTTATGTCTACCATGTATTTTTTATAGGGTAAAGTTAGTTAGTAACCTTTAAAATGTAATTTTCACAGGGTTATGTCTATATATAGGGTAATAATTCTATCAAACTATTTTTCCAAGGGGCAATAATTGTATTATGTTTTTTATGGGCCAATAGTTTCATTATTCTTATTTTCATGAGGCAAATTCGATATGTTATCCAATCATGTCATTTTCATGAGGATTTAATTATATTATGATATTAACATGGGGCACCACTTTTCTCAAGATATTTTCAAAATGAATAACACTAAAATGTAATTTTCTTTGAGTAATTATTTTGTTATATGATTTTCAAATAGTAAAGTATTCAGTGATTTTCAAATGATTCCTTAGAGTCCAAATTAAGTCTTGCGCATCATGCACAAATATTTTCAAGCATAAATTTACCTAACTGAAGTCAGACTGCTTATGAGCTTCAGTTTGATTTAAAATAATTCCCAACAAAATACTCAATGTGCTGTGTTTCCATGCTACATAATAAGATTATCAGAGAACTCAGAATAAAACCCACAATTATTTTTATAATTACAGCAATAAGTCTGTAACATGACACAGAAATATAATGAAAATTAAAAACATTATGTTTTAAAAGCAGACAAACTAGAAATGAGGTCATAAGACACCAATGTCTCTACATGTAGTCTACTGTTTTGTAAGTCTACAGCCGGGAATAGAAAGAACTGACTGACAATGGGTAAATCTATATGCTCTCCCCCCACCCCCACTAAGAAGCAATTAGTTTTAAAAAGTTAAAACCTAAAGTCAGCAAAGGTAAATAATCAAGTGTATTTTGAGCTTAAATCATCATGTCAATGCAAGGGAAACATATTGTTTTCGAATGGTTTAAAGTATAATGGTTTAAAGTAATATGTAATCTGTTTAAGCTACATAATCAGTTAACCATAATATAAGTTCACAGTGTGAATGACTTGCTGACCAGTGCTTAAATCTAACCACAATAGCATTTGCAAAGACCAAAAACCATGTATATGTAGTTTAACTATGTCAGAATATATGAACAAATATTGGGGTCACTGTACAGATTATTTTGACACTGTGGTGTAGTGGACATAGCTTGTTGAGGACATGCTTAATTGCTTTGTAGTAGAGATTTTATGTAGTACAGGACAAAGGTTGTAAAAGGACATAATTTTATAGAATGTTGAGGATGAAGGTTGTAGAGGACACAGATGTACAGGACAAAGGTAGTAGAGGATATAGAATGTAGAGGATGAAGCTTGTAGAGGACACAGATGTACAGGACAAAGATTGTAGAGGATATAGAATGTAGAGGATGAAGCTTGTAGAGGACACAAATGTACAGGACAAAGGTTGTAGAGATCAAGTGCTGTACAGGACAAAGTTGAAGATGGCATTATAAGGTTGTAGAGGTCAATGTTGTAATGGAAGTTGTAAAGAACATAATAGATGACGAAGATTAAATAGTACATATGTTGCCTAGGAAATAGGTTGAAAAGCTGTACAGGATACAGCTTGTAGAGGACAAAGCCTGTATAATCATTTAAACTACAGCCAAGATATTCCAAGGTCTTTATTTATCTACAGACAAGATAAGGTAAACTCTAAAATATTAGAAGTCAATGAAAAATTGTTTTACCTGACTTAAGATTTCAACAGCTTAATAGCTCTTAAATTATTTTCAGGCAGGTATTTAGCAGCTGCATACTCGATCTACATTACAATAACAGCTCCACCCTCTATTACAAACCAAACTGCACGATAAGTAACCAACATTCTGCCAACCATTTTAACATGCACTTCAATACCCTAGTGTGTATTTCTATTGCTTATCTTCAATATATATATATATATATAACCCCCCATTCATAAATGCACTCACATACTCTAAAACTGTTTCTTCATTTACCGAAGTACCTTACACCCCCCAAATTTACAGAAGAAAATATTCACTGTAGTCTTTGAAATATATCCGCAGTTAGCACCGTATCATATTACCTCACAAACCCACATCTTCTTTAATTAATATCAATTAATAAAATCACTTAATTTACCTATCATATATCCTCAAAGACCTTAATTCACCCTTATGCCACTACAATCATATTAACCAAAATGTACCAACATACCCTTCAATGTATGAACTATTAATATAAAACTACCCACATGCTACATGTACACTTCATTGTCTTGAATGATCTATATAACAAAAACCCAACTTTTTTTATAACCTGTCCTTTACAATATGCAGCAAAAATATATTGATTTTTATAGTCATATACAAGCCCTAAACCCAACCCTTTTTGAAAAGAGCAAAACCTCATGCAAAGGTAAATGAGAAATCATACTTAAACTAGAACTATCACTAAATGTGATTAATACCCCCACAAGTCTGCTTCGGAAATGAGGATGTTACTAGTAACAGAATACCTTGTAATATAATTGAAACATAGAGTTATGGTTGTGGGCAATTAAAGATAATTCATATATGTTGCATTTCCTTTCAATGTGGTTGGCCATTGATGAAGTTTAATTGAATTAATCTGTAATAAGTCCATAAAGACAAAGAAAAAGAACAAAGGGCAATAACTCTATAAATACTGAAGATAGAGTTATAGTTCTTGTGCACTGCACTTCCTCTTATTGTGCTTGACCATTGTATGAAGTTGTTTTGAATTCCAACCAGTATGTTTTAAGTTATGCTCCGGACAAGGAAAAGTATCAAAGGGCAGTAACTCTGTATTTTGTCAAAATGGAGTTATGGCTCTTGTGCACTGCACTTCCTTTTAATGTCCTTGACAACTGTATGAAGTTGTACTGAATTCCAAACAGTAGTTTTCAAGTTATGTTCTGGACAAGGAAAAGTAACAAAGGGCAATAACTCTGTAATTAGTCAAGATGGAGTTATGGTTCTTATGCACTGCACTTCCTCTCAATGTGCTTGACCATTGTATGAAGTTATAATGAATTCCAACAATAAGTCTTCAAGTTATGGTCCGGACAAAAAAAAGCAATGGAAAAGTAACAAAGGGCAATAACTCTGTAATTAGTCAAGATGGAGTTATGGTTCTTGTGCACTGCACTTCCCCTTATTGTGCTTGACCATTGTATGAAGTTGTTTTGAATTCCAACCAGTAGTTTTAAAGTCATGCTCTGGACAAGGAAAAGAAACAAAGGGCAGTAACTCTGTAATAAGTCAAAATGGAGTTATGGTTCTTGTGCACTGCACTTCCTCTCAATGTGCTGGACCATTGTATGAAGTTATAATGAATTGCAACAATTAGTCTTCAAGTTATGGTTCGGACAAAAGAAAGCAATGGAAAAGTAATAAAGGGCAATAACTCTGTAATTACTTTAGATAGAGTTATGATTCTTATGCACTGCACTTCCTCTCAATGTGCTTGACCATTGTATGTAGTTATATTGAATTCCAACCATTAGTCTTCAAGTTATGGTCCGGACAAAAAAAAGAAGGCAATGGAAAAGCAACAAAGGGCAATAACTCTGTAATTACTTTAGATAGAGTTATGGTTCTTGTGCACTGCACTTCCCTTATTGTGTTTGACAATTGTATGAAGTTGTTTTGAATTCCAACCAGTAGTTTTCAAGTTATGCCACGGACAAGGAAAAGTAACAAAGGGCAATAACTCTGTAATTAGTCAAGATAGAGTTATGTTTCTTACGCACTGCACTTCCTCTCAATGTGCTTGACCATTGTATGTAGTTATATTGAATTCCAACCATTAGTCTTCAAGTTATGCTCCGGACAAGGAAAATGCAACGGACAAAAAAAAAAAGCAATGGAAAAGCAACAAAGGGCAATAACTCTGTAATTACTTTAGATAGAGTTATGGTTCTTGTGCACTGCACTTCCCCTTATTGTGTTTGACAATTGCATGAAGTTGTTTTGAATTCCAACCAGTAGTTTTCAAGTTATGCCCCGGACAAGGAAAAGTAACAAAGGGCAATAACTCTGTAATTAGTCAAGATAGAGTTATGGTTCTTGTGCACTGCACTTCCTCTCAATGTGCTTGACCATTGTATGTAGTTATATTGAATTCCAACCATTAGTTTTCAAGTTATGCTCCGGACAAGGAAAATGCAACGGACGTCTGGACCGACCGACCGACCGACCAACCAACCGACCGACCGACCGACCGACCGACCACCGGGTGACTCCTATATACCCCCCCAAACTTCGTTTTTGGGGGTATAATGAGCTTAAATAAACTTTACAAAGGGACAAAGCTTAATATCATACTTAAATGAGCTTAAATAAACTTTACAAAGGGACAAAGCTTAATATCATACTTAAATGAGCTTAAGTAAACTAATCACATTTAATAAATATTCACTCTGATATTTTTTACTTATATCCTCTAAGCTGTACACATTATGACTATGATCGTGACTAAAGTATACATGTTATAATCAAATAACAACTGTCTATATTTATAATCAATATTCTATATAAAGAAAAATAATATAAGGATTGCAACTTATCACAAAAATTATAAAAGTAATTAATACAGCTTAATTTTGCAAACTTACAATATTGTCAACTAATTTGTCTAATTTTCAGAATTTTTATCAAATATGAATTTTTTACATTGAAAGATACCAATCCCTTGCATTCTTATTTTTCTAATAATCTCTACACTACTATGTTTTCTATTTTTAGAATATAATCTCTAAGCTACCTTGTGATAGTCCTGTAATTGTTTCTCATGCTCTTGTGCCAGTTGTTGTTGTTGCTGTTGAAACTGTTGTAGCAACATCTGTTGCTGAAGTTGCTGTTGCTGTTTCAAGGTCAGAATCTGCTGTTGAACATGTGCAGGCTGCATGTGAGGCTCGCTGTACATGTTGGAACCCTGTCCACGACGGTCAAGAGTAGGTGAACTCAATGGAGACGTCACTATATCTGCAAATAAGTAATATTATTTATATCAAGATATGATTTTAAATAAGCTAAGAAAAAAATACAAAGAAGCATTAAAGAAGACCAAAAAGTCATTATTGCCGAATAATCTTGACAAGGACCATCAATGGAAGCTTGGAGATTCATAATAATTTATTTGGAAATTAATAAGAATAAGCTTTTCAAAAATGTCATAATTAACTGCCCTAAATTGTTGGCCATAAAATCATTTAAAACAAAATCATATGAACAATTCTCAAGTTTGACCATCCATGCAGCTTTCATTTTCAAATATCCCCCTTGTGACTGAGGGGTTGACTTTAAGGGTTGAGGCATCAGAACAGCAGCCACCGTTTAAACTTGCGTAATTGTAAGAGGCGACTAAATGGAGTCGATTCATCTCTTAGTTCCAGCAGGTGAGGTGGTTTTGACCCCTGGTGTTGCTTTAAGTTTAGTTATCTCTAAGGTATAGCCAAAATCACCTTTCCTGTTTCAGCTCTATATATAAATTGTGTTGGTGCACCGTAAAAACCAAACAAAACAAAGATGAGACATTTCAGAGACAGGGTTTAACAGACTGAGAAAGTTGTGCTATAACAAGTTAGACGCTCTGCATAAAACTCAGCAGAGGATAAGCTTATTTGAAATGGCTTCCTCGGACAACATCATAATGTCACAATTTAAGTCATAGCATCATCCTGACAAAATCTTGCCATTAATCATAAGCCTTAGTGTATTTATGTCATGGTGGTTTGTCATTTTAACATTTATATTCGTTTATGGAAATAGGTCACAATAAATTTTTCTATGTCTTCCTACTAACCTCTGGCAAAATTTGTCAGCAATAACAATTCAATAAAAAGATGTAGATTCACCTCTGAATGACGTCAAAATGTGCATTACCTACCATTCAAAAATACAAGTTTGCTACAAATAGATTTTATTAACTTGTTTAAACATTACAATTATTATATTCATACCTTTAGATTAAAATGTAAGTTAATGTGAGTCTTCACAACATTAAATCTATTGTGGGAAACCATGAAGAACATAGAGAATATATAATGAACATTAAAATATCAAGTTATTTATGAGCAGTGGCAAAAAGATTAATTAGAGAACTTCAAGAATGTACTTTAGAATGTTGTGAACTGATTATTCATCTGTGGCATGCTAAATACACATAGATGGACTGCTTTTAATTTGATGCTATCCATTGTTCAGTTTAGAGATTTGCTTTGACACAACAGGCTTTTAAAAGTTATCTCACAGGCTGATATAAGGTCTGTTACCAAAAATAAAATTATCTCTTATTTTCTCACCAATTTTGAGAAAATAATTCCAAACAGGTTCCAACAAACAAACAAAAAAAATATATAAAGTAAAATAAAAAGATCAAAATGACTGATACAACTTCTGTTTTTAATTAACATGTTACATTCAAGAAATATTATAAATAAAGAATGTATTTGTATGAGACTGTCACTTGACAATATTCTAAATAATGTTGCTTATCAACAATTTAAATTTTATCAAATATTCCAAAATTTACATGATTTTCGAAAGTTAAGCCATGGCCTTTATACAAAATATGGAAAATGACCTGATCAAGAGTTTGGCAAGACTGTATCATTGATTTACCCCCCCCCCCAACTTATATCAAATAATTCTAAATTAGTCATAACTTACTTTGGAAATACATTTACTGTAATATACATTTTCATTTTTCATTTTGATATTTACATCACAAATTTTCTATCAAGAGCTTGATATGAAACTGGTATAATTCATGTCACGCAAACAAGCCAACAAATTCACACTACATTTTTATAAGAAAATACAGTATTTTCATGATTCAAAAAATTTTGCGAAAATTTTCTGGTGACAAATTCTTCTAACCTGTTGGTGGTGAACTGGTTCCATGGTAAAATTTTACATCAGAAGTCACAGGCATGATTTCACTGTATGTATCACGCAAAAAATCTAATCATATGTGGCAACACTAAATCTTGGTCGTGAATATTTATCACAATAGCTGTCTCATGTACAGGATCTCAATGATATTTTATAATGTCCAATTATATTTATCTATTTTTTTTATGCTTATTTTCAAATATTTTATCGGCACAGCATTCAACTATTAAAATGTCCCCACAGCACAAAAAATATAGAATTTAAATATGGAAATAGTCTGTACTTCAAGATTCCAATTTCTATAGCTGTTTTCATAATTAATAACCTTTTTTTACTGCAGGAAAAAACCATGTGTCCAAAAAGCAAATAAATACCTCTGTTTGCATTAACAATGTCACAAACAAACAAAAAATTCAATTTTTCTTTCACTCTTTTTTTCCCCCCATTAAATTGCAACTGTACTTAAATCAATGTTTTAATGTCACTTAAAATAAATCCCGATATAAAAATCACAAGATCAAGATGATAAGAACTGTTTAACGTTTCGATGTTTTATTCCGGAAAAAGTCCTGGTCATCCACCAAGTCGAGATCTTTTCCTATACTGATTCGCTTTTCTCCCCTAGGCTACATGCATCACCATCTTCACAACAAAACCAGGTAATTAACGAGCGCTAAACTTGTTACTCTATATATAGACATTATGACGTACATTACTAAACTACAAGAAATGCTATTATAGTAATGTACATTAAGTAAACAGGTGTATTTGACTGCTGGTTTTAATTAGCTATATATAGACAAGTTTCTCTGTACATTAACATAATTATTGTAATTTTTGTTTTTGAATAGTGTATGACTTGTGATATAGTCTTATTTAACCATGGATGTAATTTATTTCCTTGTTATACTTATATATTAATCACACTTTTACCAATTTTTAAATCAAAGAAATCATTGGTATTGTAGAGATTAACCATCTTGGCCTCAAGGTTGTAAAACATTTTTCTGAGTTTTGTCTCAAATCTCAGGATTTTCATTAGTCAGTGTAAATTCTGTGCTGGAGTCTCAGACCAATGGAGCATCTGACCTTTGACCCTTTCTTTATAAAGTTGGATCCTGGTTTTCAATTATTTATTTTTTATATTTCTTTAAAAACTATATACTTGAACTTTTTCGTTTTAGAAATTTGGAAAATACATCCAACATGTCCAAATTTGGAGAAATTATTAACTAGTAAGACACATTTATATAACTGATTGAAAAATAAATTGTAATTATATCATATTTATATCACATGCAATTTTAAGAAATTGGCATTTCAGGGTAATCAATTATTATATCAGTTTATGGCATAGACAGCATTATTATGAAGCAACCAGGCCAAAGAATAGTGAAGATAAATTGAAATTACAACAATTATCTTGAGTGATTCTGAGATAAATTATAATAGGCCTTTTTTTTTAAAGAGAAAATACCATCTATATTTTAGATAGTAAGACCACTTTTATGGCTCAGGGAAACAGTCTTAAAGTAGTTAGCTCTATTTGGTGGTTAATTGCATGAAAAAATCACCAGGGGGAGGAAACATGTGTTCATATCTGAGGACTGATAGTGACTGATATAAAGTGATTGGCTTGCAATAAGTTCAGGGTCAGAGAAGATATTTAGATGTTTTTCTAAGGCCTCAACAGACAGTAGGATTTTGAAGTATAACACCAATTAAAACTAAGATGTACAAGCAAATCTTAATGTGTGAAGGCTACTATTTCTTGTATTCGTAAACCTTTATTCTAGATATAACATAAGCTCTGGAAGCTTCTTAATTAAAGAAACCACATTATCCAATAACAGTCAGAAAAAAAGTCAATGTGACCAGTTATTTTGATCAGAAAAGAGATTTTTGATGCCATATACTGTTGTTTCCATGCCCAGGATAGGATTGTATTATTTATATCATCAAGTTAGAAATATTTTAACCATGTGGTTTAATTTGAGTGCAGAAAAAATAATCTATGCCAAAACATGCAAAGGGAAGGCTTTTGTAAACATAATTTGTCATTAAAATGAAAAGGACCATCTCGCTTTATGTAAAAAAAGACAAATTTTCTAATAAAGGTCAAAGACTTGTTTTAATTAACACAGCATTGATATCTAAATTTAACTTTTAAAAAGTCAAACATTGACAAAAACTATTTTAATGGAAACAAATTAACAACTGACGATCCTTTATCTTCTCAATCCTATTTTTGTTGTTGCCAAGAATAAACATAATTGAGCCGTGTCATGACAAAACCAACATAGTGTGTTTGTGACCAGCATGGATCCAGACCAGGAGTCAGCTTTTGCCAGTAGTACACAGACAGGCTAGCCTGTACATATGTGCAGTCTATCAAGCCTGACCCATTATAACTGTTAGCTGACTAATCAGAAATTTTCATCCTCAAAAATATCCACAATGATAATGGACTTTTCCAAAAATGGAAATTATTTAATTCCTCAAATGAAAGAATTCAAACTCTTTTAATGGATTCATACTCAATCTATGAGAGGCGACTGACTTGACTTTAAACTGTCTTTCTGTTTATCACCACTTGGACATATTAAGCAGTACTCGACGTGCTATTGAACATCAATTGAAAAATAACACTGACTCTAAACATGGCTCAAACATTGGAAATCAACACAATATAATATTATATTTCCTTCCACTAATTATAGTTATAAAAAGAGAACAAAGACCTAAATAAATAACATAATTACACATGTACAACATCTTAGAATACCAATATAGATAAAAACATTCTATTTGTTAAGAAGAAAGTAATTTGCTTCCTTAAAACACCACTATTAAATACTGTAACCAAGCAACCATTTCTATAACAGGCTGTCGCATGCCTGATTTAAAACATTGGGTTATTTTCATATAATCTAAGACATCAAAAATAGGTTTCTCTAATTGAGAGAATTACAAAGAAAGGAAAAAGAAGAAAACATGTTCTGAAACAGTTAATATTTGAAGACTTTGACCTCTTTTGTGATGTATAACAAATAACAGCAGACCAACAGTATACAAGTAAAATGGTTTCTGCGGTGGACATTTTAATGATATAAAGATATTTCATTTAACTATTTTCAACATTATTTGGGGGGGGGATAAATAAACGTTTGTAACAGGAATATAGTTGACAATAATCGAACAATATAGAAGAAGGTCTTTGGAAACTGCATGTGACCGTTGAAGACCGGAGAAGGTCGAACATAAAACAATTATTTCTTTTTAAGAAAATGATTAAATAGGCCTACCATTTTATGAATAATTCCGAGCAAAAAATAAATAAAGTAAACACACAAGTTTACGCAGAAAATATCTCTATTTATTATGGCAGATGCCACTACGAATATTTTAATTTTGTAGATTTTCAGTATAAACAATTTATTGTTTGTAAAATTTGAGATAGATATTAAAGAAACATTGATAATTTTCAAACACATCATTCAAGTTTTACCACCTTAAACGGTAAAATAATTATAGAAAATTAGAAATATCACGTAATAGATTTTTGTTCTCAATTATGTGTAATTCGGACTAATTCCCTACAGGTAAATCCGTAACGTACCGGCAAACGGTATTTAGCTGGGTTTTCGAAAAGGTCAATTAACCAATCATATACGGTTTACAGATCACATGCTCCTCCATGTACCGAAAACAGGTCACGTGCTCCTCCATGCCTCAAAAGTTAAACGCGTACCAATACCCTGCGGTCTCCAGACCGCAGGGAATGAACTTCCATTACAGTCTGACATGATTATTTACTCCTGGCTTATCAATTCTAGCTCCTGTATTTTCAACAAATGGCAACAGGACATTCAGAATCAATTTTCATCCCTCAATCTTTTTTTTTCTTTGAGGGTTCAAGCCCTTTTTGGGTCATGACTAAGATTTCTCACATGACAACAGCATGAATAAGTTTGGATCATTTAAAGGGGTAATGGACTCCAAATTGATTGTTGTCAGTTGCATTAACTTGTGTCACAATCAAGCTTAAATAAATATGTTTTACTAAATGGTGTTAAAGGCATGAATGAAAGTAAAATAATTCCAATAGCATTCAAACAGAAAATATTTGACAGTTTATAATTGTCAAAACAAGGTTTTGCACAGACATGAAAAATTTGGTCAAAATTGATTACATCACAAATCCCAACAATATGCACCAAGGCACTTTCTGTAAATACTTCTAAGAAAGTTTGGTTGAAATACTTTGGACCAATGTCCACAGCCAAACCCTTCCACTGTAAGTCACCAATTTTATTCAGTAGTAAAAAGCCTTAATTTGAAATGTTCTTATGCTGATAAAATGTCTTCACAGGAATCAAAATTTGCTTGCTATAACGATTTTATAAATGTCAACTTTCATTTTTGAAAAATTATACAGAGACTAAATTGAGTTTTGGTTTCACTTTTCTTAATTTGAAAGAATACAATACAAGAAAACTCACCTTTTCTATTAATATAGTGACTATTCATCTCCATAGCAGGGTCTGATGGCCCTAGAGGCTCTGAAAATATATAGAAAAACATATTCTTATACCAATTCACCATAATCTGAAATTGCATGCAAATGGGGTTTTTAAAACAAAGGGAAATAACTTAAACTTAATAACTTCTACATAATTCTTTTTACCCATACAGCATTTTTCAAAATTTCATGACCAACATGAAATTGGATCTCACTCAAATGCTGATAATACCTTCCAAATAAAATATAGAAGCAACCATAATAACCTATCATCATTATCAAATTTCATATCATTATTTCATCATGGACTGTGACTAATAAAGCATTAGTTTTGTAAACATTAAATACTCCAGTTACTGTATATTTATTTAAACACTCACAAACAATTTATCAGCAGATTAATTATACACTTGTATAATATTTATGATGAGATGTCAATGATTTCATTGACTTAAACCTTATTATTAGGCCTGCTGAATTTGTGTAAAAGTCAATTTGAAAATATCAAAATACAACAACAAAGCTACCAACAGCTTATATGTATAAAGGGCCTGGTATGACTGCAATGGGGGCATTTAAAGGCTCGCCCATTTTCAGCTCAAGTAGGTTAAGGCATTTTTTTTTAGTCCCTTCATGACTGTAACAAAGATATTTATGTAATTTTGTCCCATTATCGACTCTGTACTATCACTTTTTGTCTCGTAATACACCATTTCAAATAAATTTTCTTTGCATTTTATTATACTGTTTGTTTGTTTCTCCGGATTTTTACACATTTTGGTTATATCTCTGTGGCCAATATCCACCTAAACAGCTTTCCTAGATTACCAATTAATCTGCAAGTGACATTATCCCTATTATAGTCTCTGAATCAAAGGCAAGAGACAAATGATCATAAGACTCTATGTAAGCACTCAATCGTCATGGAGAAATTACGCCTCGCCCAAGGATCAAACTAGCGACCGCTGGATTACTAACCCAATGCAGTTAATTTAAAGACTGACGGTAACTAATACAATGATGTATAAATGCACTATAACATAGTTACCTTCTCACAAAAACAATCATATGCCCTGCTTAATGATAATAGCTCTACAATATGTCACCAAAACAAATTATAATTCTATCTAGAACACTTCCTATGTAAAAATTTATTGACATATTGGAAAATGTTAATCAAACTTTGACCCTCTCCCCTCCCACTCATCACATTTTCCAGGATCAAATTCAGTTATGAATGCATAATTTCCAACTTCATATAATTGAGCCGCGTCACGACAAAACCAACATAGTGCATTTGCGACCTGCATGGATCCAGACTAGCCTGCGCATTCGTGCAGTCTGATCAGGATCCATGCTGTTCGCTGTCAGTTTCTCTACTTGCAAAAGGGTTGTTAAGCAAACAGCATGGATCCTGATCAGACTGCGTGGATGCTCAGGCTGGTCTGGATTCATGATGGTCGCAAACACACTTTGTTGGTTTTGTCGTGAGGCGGCTCATATATTTCCTAATAACCATTATCAATACCATTATGAACTTCATACAAAACAAATAATAGTCACAAACAACTTCAATCCATATAATACCTAGACAAATTTATACATCTGCCTCACCTTTACCTATTCAATGGTCAGTGGTCCAGTTTTGGAAAAAAAAATGCCCTTAATGAAAAACAGTAAATCAACATTCCAACTGTCAGTAGAAACGAGTGTCCACCATGAAAGATAAACAGTCATACATCAAGACTAAATAAAATTTGTCTTTGTAAGTTTTACAATAAATTTACCAATGAAAACCTGAAATTTAAGCAATAAACTGGCATGCTTTAAAGCTAAAAATTTGATTTTTTTTATCTTTCTGTGTTTCAATGTATTTAAACTTAATTTTCACATATAATATAACACATATAACATATTGCATCACAGACAAATGATATGATTAAAGAAGCAATTATTAGTGTTATATAATTTTAAGAAAATTAAAGAGAACATTTTTTTGAAAAAAAATTTTTTTAAAAAATAAATTTTCCCAATGTGTGCCTTCTCCAGTTTTTTCCCAAAATTAAAAACCGGAAATTAAAAATTTTTTATAAAAAAAATTTTATTGATTATATTAAAAATTTTAAAGATCACATGGAATTTCCTGATTTCCAAAAAACCTCAGCACATAAATATTTATATTGAAAAGCAAATATTTTAAGGGAAAGAAAATTTCAGCTGTAGACTTAAAACCTGGTACCCCTTGACACCGTTCACACTTTACCAAAAAGTGGGGGCTTCAGCACATACATAATTATATTTCCCCTAAATAGTGAACATTTAAGAACAGTATAACATATAAATTTCTCTAATATATTTCCCTATTATCAATATATTAACGAATCACAATGTAAGCATAATATTTCTCTATATATAAGGAATTACTAGACAACATATTTCTTGGATATTAATTTCCAAGAAAAAAATGTAACCTATAAAACTGAAATTTTATTACTATAAACACAATAAACTGAAACTGTTTTCATTTTAGAAAGATGATACTTTAGTTATGTTTTTCCTCTTCATTAAAATGTATAAAAAAAAATCAGACAAAAAAACCCATGCAGGATTAAATTTCTTTAATTTGAAATCCCTGTTCTAAATTTATGCCCCTATATCTTTGGTTATTAAAGATATTTTTAATATTTTAAGGTCACATTTAACAATCGTCTAGAAAAGCTAGTGCCAGGAGTGTGATCAGTTATATAATACAGTAATTGGACCTATAACTCTGAAAATTATGACAACAAGATAAAAGATGTCACTAAACCAGTAATATTCCTGTCTAATGCACCTGATGATGTTGTAAAATGATATCAATATTACATATTGTTACATAGACTTGATGATTCATCATATGTTTGGATATACAGACATTTGCCTACCACTCTAAAAATGTATCTTGGACATTGTCATCAGACACCAAGATACTAGCAAACCCCCCCCCCCCCCCTCCCAACTGTGAAAAGTTGAAATACGACTTTTGACATTCTCTTCCCCACCAAAGAGAAATATTTCTTCAAGAAGGCCAAATAGTCAAATTATTTAAAGAGATATTTTTTAGTTATAAATATACATGTATATTTACTTTATTTGGTTATAGTCAATTAAAATAAACATGGCAAAGTTTTAGGTAAAATAAGACTTCAATATATACTTACATTCTTTAAATATTATAGAAGGAAATTTTCAACTTTATTTCAGCTTGCCCACACCGTATTACCGGCGGCAGTGATGGCAGATCACTGCAGTGATGGCAGATATCTGAAAATTACCGATCGGTATAGGTAGGTTATAAATTTGGTTGGTTTAATTATAGTATGCACAAAACACGCGGCCCATTATCATTGCTATAAAACTTATTGGTCCATTGAATGGAGATACTGTAAGGTAATTTTGGACTTTTCGTTTTTTTTTCCTGTTTTAAGCACTATTTTGAGGCAGTGTTAAAAGTTGAAAGCCTTAGAAAAATCCGTGAAAATGTCTTGTTTTTCTGTTTCAAAAATATCCCAAGTTTTAAACGTAAATTGGCAGGATTTTCCTGTTATATCAATATAGACGGTTCATCCATTGGGGTCACGGCAAGCCAAATATTCTACCCCTGTGAAGTCATTTTCTTGGAAGTTTTACAGACGCTCATCTTGTCCGGGCGAAGAAAAAAATGCTGCCGTTGTAGGCAGATACATATTATTAAATAGCTTTGCCGTCGATGGCAAGAAATACCACGAAAAGTGGCTAACATTTCTGACAGAAAATCAAGCTTTCAATCCTTTTATCAATTCCTCTTTTCTTGCGTCCTTTTTAGTCGGAATTGAGCACGTTAAACTATCATTTTCTAATATTTCTCAAGATAGAAAAGTTTATTAATGCGGTTGTGTGCATCGAAAAAAAAGCTTTTAGGGCAACATGCAGTTACAATACAAAAAAGTTTGCATGATTTAGTACGACAAAAATTTCACTATATAATAGAGAAATGAACATTGAAAAACTTCATTTTTCTATTATTCATGCATGTGTTGCTTGATCTGCTTTCATATGAATTGAAAGTTTCAAAAAAGAGCAAAAAGAATATAACCAAATAAAAAAATTCTAGTTTTTTCCTATAAATACAGGATTCATTTTCATCTTGTGATTATGAAAATCATCGAAGGTTTTCTTTTTTTTTTTCCAAATCTTTATAAGTTGTCATGGTTACAACTAAAATGAATGAAAAAATATATAGTTAAATGGGAGCACGTGATGTTAGAACTGTTGTTAATAGTTTAGCATAGTAAATGTAATTCAATTAAGGCAAACTACAACGCTATTACAAACATGAAAATTTAAAGAAATGAATCCACGTTGTCTAGTTTTTCAAGAACTTGATAATATAGGAAAATATTTGAACTGTCAATAATATTATCTTTCCATTTTACATTAACATACATTGTTTTATGGATACACTGATGCCAGTTGCGAGGTTAATAGTCTTCCCCTTTATTACATCAATTTTTAATAATTTATTTAATCTGCGCCGATTAAGTAAATTTCAGCCTTTATTTGTCATAAAGCGATGAACATTATTTACCTCGAGAAAATAATGTCATATGCTAGCAAATGAATATCACACTTACAGAAGTTACTTGCTGTTATATGCAATTGGCGTTATGTCTTAAAAAGGGAGTGTGCTGCTAAACTTAAGATACATATAGTATTGTATGCATGTAACTGACAGACACAACAGATCAAGCACACATGCATGAATATAGAAAAAAGAAGTTTTTCATGTTCATTTCTCTATTTATAGTGAAATTTTGTGGTACTAAATCATAACTTTTTGTATTTTAACTGCATTTTGCTAATAAGCTTTTTTTCGATGCACATACCGCATTAATGAAAAAATTCAAAAAATCTACAAAACAGCAATTTTTCTTCAAAATTATATGTGAGGCCATGTTTTAACATGGAAAAACGCGTTTTTGGGTAATTTCGTTTTTTTTCATCATTTTATGTTAACCCATT